GCTCTTACTGTTTCAAGACAAGCGCAATCGTGCTCTAATACCATCAGAAGTCATCTTAATAGCATGAGCTACTATGACAGATTAGCTAGATGGAAGCTGTTCTTTACTACATAATGTATCGTATGTAGACAGCAACGGCCGTAATGATATTATCGCGCCCTCCTGCCTTTGGAGGTGGTCTAATATTTTCCAGATTTCCACAATTCTCGAACAACAGAGTTTGACGACTGTCGTCCCAAGAACTTTCTTTGAACCAACTGCAAGCTCCGACAAAATGTGACAGTTTTTAAATTACAGCGTGAGATGTTATTTGGTTAGCTGGACTATCACTGCTGCTAGAGAAAGGACCAGCTTAACAGACAAGACAATGATTTCACGAAAGATAGGGTTCCTGTTTGATATGTCTAAATCACAAAATCGTGATTTGGTGGTCAGGGCAATATTACATAAATTGTATCGAGCATGCAAAAAATCAGCTTTTAGGGACACCCTCACCCAGGTTCTTTGCTAGAAGTAAAATTTAGTCCCATACACCCAGATTTTAGATCTTGTAAGTACGGTGTGTAACTGTGTTTCTACCATAAGTATTGCAAACAGTAAATTCACTAAACACCAAGGTTAATCTTGCACTTTTCATTTTTTTAATATAATACCATTCTTTCTGAAATGGGTGACTATTTAGTTATTGGTAGGTTTGTGTACACTCATTTTTTAAACACGTTTATCACAAAAGAAAATATAATCTATCTAGCTGAAAATAGCAGTGAAATGTTTCCCACCTTTTCGTTGGATGAAATGTAATATGATAGCATATCAGGTCATTTCATGTAATGTAGCCCCTGCCATGACCAGACGTGAACCACAAGTTTAAGTGGTTTCAAATCCCTGCCATGACCAGCTGTGAACCGCAAGTTCAAATAGCTTTAGAACCCTGCCAAGACCAGCTGTGAACTGCAATTTCAAGTAGTTTCAGATCCCTGCCAAGACCAGCTGTGAACTGCAATTTCAAGTAGTTTCAGATCCCTGTCAAGACTAGCTGTGAATCGCAAGATCAAGTAGTTTTATAACCCTGCCATGACCAGCTGTGAACCGCAAGATCAAGTAGTTTTATAGCCCTGCCATGACCAACTGTGAAACGCAAGTTCGAGTAGTTTCAGACCTAATCATTGACCGATGACTAAAAGCTCCAGCCTATTATGCTTTCTTCATAGTTTCATGTAAGGAATTTACTTGCATTTATTGTTTGCATAAAATAACAACCAATCTTTTCACCTTTTTCAACTGAAGCTGTAAATTTGGCTAGAAATCTGAACAGCTTCAAACTCTCTCTTTCGGAGGAAAAATACACTATAGATGTATACAATATAGCCAGAATTAAAACCATATCAAGATCCAATGAACAGACAATTTCTACTGTCGACCTAGCTGAACTAATTAGAGATAATACTGTTCAAGAGCAGCAGTTGGCAACTAATTATGGCATGTTTTGTTTTTTAATCTAAAGTGACCTTACATTCTTTAATATTAAAAAAAAACATAATCCTCGGGGAATACGATAAAATTGGGATAAAATACCAACTTGTTGTTTTTTAGTTTAATAAATTAACATGTAAATCTTTAGCAGAGGTATTTCTTGTACATTTGTTGTACGAAACATAGTTATAGATTGTATTTTGAAAATCGAATCAATTATCCTTCAAAAGATTATTGCCCTCTCAATTATTTCTCGTAACGAAATAAGTTTGACAATGCTGGTATCAAGGAAAACTCGTTTTTCTTGTCCTTTATTAACTAATATAATCATATATGCAGAAATTAAATTATGGTACTGCTGGTATTGTATGCTACAGCTTTAATTTGGACTGAAGTTATATTCTTGTTATACCCGAATGCTAAGATAAACTCAGTTTCAATGTATGTTATTTATGTTTTGCTTTGTTCCTAGATTTCCTCTTGGTATAATGTAAAATATAAATTTTTCCTCTGTCTTTATGCAAGTAAGATTACAACTTACACAGCTTTCCTGTGACACCATCATATGACAGCCTGGCGTTAAACGTTGATTTATTGTCTCCAGTAGAAAGCATGTCCCAGCACGTAAACTTTATCGTTGTGTCGCGGAAGAGGTGGTGAAAAATTTAATACAAAAGATTTGTAAAGAGAACTTAACTACGTACAAAGTACATCCCCTTCAAGTTCGCATAACATAACTTGTTTTCGCACACTTGTTCAAGCAAAACTTTTCAGTAAACTACGTCTGTTAAGTTTCGAACTCATCGCTCTTGTGCTAACATGTGACAGCGTTAACGTATCAATCGATGAAAACTTATAAAGAGAACGTGAGTGTTTGAATGAAGAAGTGGACTCAAACTGAAGTAAAGTGCCAACAAGGATTATCAAGTGAGAGGACACCTAATTTAAAATCAACAGTTTGTTTGAAAACAGACATGGGGAGCGCTTCTGTTGAAAGGATATTTTTTCCGACAAATATTAACCGTACAGTGGAAACAATGTAGAGTTGTAGGATCTCTTAAGTACTGCACATATTTTTAAGCCTAAATACAAGCTTTAGCAGAAAATGTCATTCTACTATTAGTATTTGAAGATAGCTTTTATATACAGAAGCATCTGCTAGCTGAGTTCTTGCACAAATTTTAAAATATAACGTTGATAAACGGAAACATCGGCACATGTAGATATGTAGATCTTGAA